AACATAAAAGAGATTAATACCATAAATAAGAAACATAGACAGAAAAAGGGAGCATCGCCTTGCCGTTACCCTATGTTTGCACTAAGGACTCAGAGGAATGGTAGTGATTACACCATTGACTGAATCATCGCCAAGGTCAGGCCTCCCATCTTTTCTCCCTCCTACTCCTCAGTTACACTCCTACTCAGCAGCCAGTGAGTTCATATGGCTGCTGAGACGTTCAAATAATCCAGTTTCTGGCACCGTTTACAGACGCTCAATCAAAGTGGGAGACAAAAACCATTATGTTATGCTTTACATAAGGTAACATTAATGACAACTCTAACTTTTACAATGCTCTAATTACCATACATTTCCTAATAAAACAAGTGAAACGAAATAGAGTTCTATTTTTATTGTATTGCAGATCTGAAAACTAAAAAAAGGGTCTGGAAGCAAATGAAAGCAGTGCAATCTTTCTGCAAGATGAACTTATCTGCAAGTTGACAACGCTCTTAGACACACTAACGCAACAAGGTAGACTCATTTCTGTAGTGGTTATATGAGTTAGAGACACATCATTTGTTGGCTTTTGAATAGACACAGCTGCTTCTTGGTTGAAACGGGTTTCAAAATAATTTTTTGACCTGAAGACATGCTAAAATTCAGGAGGGAAAACTTATCATGTAACAGATTTAGATTGTTCACACATCTAGACATTTATGATCATGAACTCATGAAAAAGTTTGTAATATTCCATCTTACACAATATTCTTTTCGAAATCAAGACGAATTGCAAAATTTTCATGTAAACACATTTGTTATAATCAAAACAAGTTAGGAAACATTCATCCTAGACTTACCATAAGGAGAATACAACCAAAGCTACTGGTCACAAAATAGTCTCCTGACACAAATGTTCTTTTTCTATTGCCTGATGATTTTAAAAATGATACAATCTTTTAACATTCATTATTTATTATCTTTTAACAACTACAACAATAATAACAATAATGATCATGATGGAGAGCTTGTTGAGGAGAACTTTCTCAATACCAGACTGGTCAGTTTCCCTGTTACTGTAGTCTATCAAATGCATGCAAAAAATATGATTAATGACTAAACAAACATGGGGTACTTTCTCAATCTAAAGGTGAAGTGATTCAATAATAATACTTATCATTGCCCTATAAAAAATAATTGCTGCATTGTAAAATATTTTAGAAATTCACACTCGTGTGCATGAATGCACATGAAAACATGCACCACTAATTACTGATTGAACATTGAAAAACTCCCATTTGTATTTTGTTATTCAATGAACCCAATCATGACCGATAACTAAATCAGCCTTATTGTATCTGGGTAGTAGATTGGCAGGCTTTCACCAGGGCACAAGCTGGTGTGGTTTCCCTCGTAGCAACCCTCATGAAATATTTATTCAAATTAAGTCAGACACCTAGAGCAGGCTATGGTTACAACTAAATATTCTAAGTGAAGGCAGAGCCAGAGTCCCATTGACTAGATTCCCAATTCTTTCGACTTTCAGCACAAAACATCAAACATTCCCAAAATGGCACACTAATTTTGATGAAGCACATTAATTAATAACCCAGATCTGACCCTATTTATAGTTAGTTTTCCCAGGTGAGTGGAGCAGAACAGAAGAAAAGAGAAGCGCTAAATTTGTTTTCCTCCACTGAAAGAAAAAAAAGATGAGGGTAACAATGAGAAAAAAAAAACTAGGAGGAATAAAAAAGAATACTGCACACAAGTAGAAGGATACAGATTCTGAATGAGTAAAGTTTCTGAAACCAAAAGGGAAATTTCCCTGACAGTGGTTGGGAACCCACATTCAAACACATTTGATCAAGCAAAAGTCAATGTGTCATCCAGGTGATACAAGGCATTTCTGAAGTGTGTTATGCTTTAAAAACAGTATTGTTTGGGTAAGGCTGCTGTTGGAAAGTAACACTGCTGTGGCCAAATCCCATTAACTTCTGCTATGATGTCTGCTTAGCTGAATGTGCCAAATGGATGGGTTAACAAGAGAGTTGATGTCTACAAAAGGTGAACGATCAAAAGGCACTTACGCATAATTCAATGATCAGACTTATGAACAACAAAACTTAAAAAAACAAAATAATTTTGATGTATTTAAAAAGACTACAGCTTACATGTTTTTTTCAAAATGTTAACAATTTATACAATTTATAACAAATGACCCATAAAAACCTGTATAATTCTGTGTTCTACATAAGACAGACTTGATGCCATTTAAATACTTAGGAGAAGTCCTAATTTTTCAAAATCATCTTTACTGTATTTTTCACCGTTTCAGGAATAAAACAGTCTTCCTCTCTCTGAGCTCTGATGCCGACTGAACTTGGCGAGTTGGGAAGGTGATGGTGGAACGTCCTGTCTGTAAGGGCCCTTGGATTGAGGTGTGTTTTTTACAGTGGCTGTACCTGGTCCTTCACTGTGGTCTCTGATATGGTCATTCGTGCTATCAGAGATTTCCTGTAAAGGAGAATGGCTGGCTCTGTTGACTTCCTGCTCTTTGCGCCTTTGTTCTTGTCTCAGCAACTCCTGGGTCTCGAGAAGGACACGAGCGTTAAAGTTTGGTGTTCCCAGGTAACCATTACGAGATCCCTGGCTTGCAGAGTAGTGAAAGTTGTCTTTGGATGATTGGAGTCCCTCAGTTTGTGCATACAATCTGTCCCTTGAGTCCTTGGACAGTGTGCTGTTGCTCTTTCGAGGTTGCCTAAAGACAAAGAAACAAGTAGAAAGGTTACTTGTAATATTCAGCAAGTTAGCTGGAACATCAAATGATTCTGAACCAAACAGGGATGCAGAACATGTGATTGCTGCTGAATTTTTTTTATTTTTCTCTGCAACCTCTAGGTTCACACTATTGAAGAGTAATTCTACTAAACTTATCCTCTCACGAGGAAATTACTATATATACATAACAACTGATCAAAATGAATGTAATATTAATTAAAATAGTGAAAACTATATCAATTGAGTGAGGAGAGATCTGTGTGCAAAATAATTACACTAAATCTTTCTACATACAAATTGAAAGTGCAAGAAAAGGACAAGTCTAAAACTGCTTACACAAATTGTCTTCTTTAATTTATTAAACTCCTTTTGAACTTTCAGATGGGTTCATTTAAAGCAAACAGACTGATGGAAGGCCTCACAGCTGTATCTTCGCACTACTCATCCTCATGCTTCCTTCCTATCCCTTCACCATGTATTCAACTCTGGTCCTTGTGGGCCATGTTCCTGCTGGCTTTAGACGTTACCCTGCTTCATCTCACCTGATTCACATCAGTGAGGCATAAGCAAACTTCTTCAGAGCTTTTGTATATATGCATTTAATAAGAATCTGGTTTATTTACAGGAAAGCTTGACATTTGGTCGTATTAAGTATGTGCTTGTCTTTCTCTTTCGTTCTTTTTTTTAGTATAACTCTGTCCCTCTATTATCATTATCCATAAAAGGCTCATATGCAATAAAACCTTTGACATTGTCCTTTGAATGTGTCAAAGGACAATGTCCTTTTTTTGACAAAAAGGGTGTAAAAAACAAAAAAACCTTCACACCCCAATAACACATTTTGTGGTTAAAAGGTTTTTGAGCTCAGAGGACATGACCTCAGGATAAGGAAAGTGGCTCAGGATGCTTTTAGGCCACAACACAAATGTTTGTTGTTGATCTGAGTCTCACTCTGGAAAAGAACAAAGATCATAGCTAAGTAATACAGTGAAATGGTCTTTCACTTTCCCTCTAGATTCAGGACCCTGGCTTGTTTTATCACCAATCTCTTTAACTCCATGACAGATAAATTAATTTGATCCATGTTCAGGCTCTGTGTTGGAAAACAGATATTTCTTAGCATTTCCATATTAAGTGACATACTCGTGTGAGTGTTTAGCAACGGTTCCAGCTTTAACAATTATAGCCTCACAGGTTTATAGAATTTAAAGGAAGAGGAAGAGATGGAGCGCACAATACTGTGAGTGTATGTGACTTTCTGGCCTTAGCCGTACAAATATGTGTGTGGAGACAAATATGTGTGCATTTTTGTGTTTAAATGTGCATGATAAACATGTGTGCATGCATGTAGAGAATGTATAAGGTTAATTGGTGAATGGGCAGATGTCGGGACAGACTGCAGAGAGAGCCCCACACCACATGCTCCATATCTGAGTTTTGCTGTCTGGGCGAGCCGCCATGCATTTACACCCAGGCTTGGCTTCCAGAACAGCCAGAAACTGCTCATAAGGGAGCTGCTTGTTGAAAAAAAAAACAGTGTTTATTTGCAGAAGAAAGTAGTATGAGATTTTAGAATGACCTTTCAGGTTTGAAAGAAAACAGGAAAAAATGGATTTAGGAACAAGTCTTCTGTAGCATAGGGAGGAGAGCAAAGATGTCATTGTGCCAGAGGAATGTAACTGTGATTGATGTGTCAGAAAATCTTGTTCTCTTATCACCTCTACTCCTGTGTAAGAAAATGTCACAGACTAGACATTTGTTTCTTTTACAGTGGGAGGGTATGGGAAAATTCATCATGAAAAAGAGTAGGATAAATTTAAAGTGACAGAGTATAACAAACAAAGTCAGGAAGTTGGCTTGCAGAAAAATTTGTGGCCGCTGTGTGTTTCTTTAAAACAGCTGGGAAGAATCATACTTTATGAGAATGAGATGTAAGATTACCGTCTCACACACAAACATCCACTGTCTCAAAATTGTTTTAAAAAAGTCCAAATGTATCCAACGGGAAATGTAAAAAATCACTTCTATTTTGCAGACATAAACTGTTTATCTGAAATATTACTTTTCTAAATTGTGTGAAACAATATTGTTTTGGCTGAAGAATGCAAAAAGAGGCAGTCAACCGAGACGACAGTTAAGAACCTTATCTTGACAATATTCATGTGTGTGGTTTAGTGTATTTTTTTAAGTGTCTCTTTCAGGCTAATCAGTGGTTTCTCCCTTCCACTAAAACACTTGTTCCTCTCATGCCCTTCTTGTCCTCAGCTGCCTGTCATCACTAATCCTGCTCCAACAACAAGCCTTCATTAGTGCATTTCCAATCCTCACATCCCAGACAGAGAGTTAAGCCTGGGCCTCATCAGATAACCAGCTACCATGGCTTCTTCTGGAAGCCCTTTGAAATGGAGGGGTTCTTTTTTTTTTGATGGAATGTCCCCTTTTCGGCTTAAAAGCTGACTGCTCAGGCTTCCTGTTATGAAAGGGAAGGACGTGGTGAAGCATTTCCAACAGAGAAGTGGTTGAAGTTGGAAGGAATTGTGATTATTAATGTGAGAAATGTAAGACTTTAGCTTACATGTACTGTACTGAGCAATCACACCAATAGACCAGCTCTGAAAAGCCTTTGCCTGGGCTAAGTGTCATGCCAGAACTCATCTGATTACTTTCTCACAGATACTATGACATTCCAAGAAGAATGCATATCAAAGTCCATTCAGACCAGGACTTTCCCAAGGGACGTAACACACTGAGAGGAGACCTCATGGTGACTGTCACATCAAGAGGGGCCAGCAGATAATACCTTTGAAGGGATAGATCATAGATCATTCCAGTTTATACAGACCACATTGATTATGCGTCCATGTGGACCACAAATCCATAGCCATAGACCGTAACATGTTTTAATCGACCCAACTGTGACTGGTCAAAAGGAGCAAGAAAAAAGGGGCTTGAAAAAATTACTTTCTTTTGTGCTGGAGTTAAATGAACACAAGAGTACAGTATTACAGCAAGACAGTAACATTGTGCTGTTGCATACATTTAAAGACCGCTGACAAATCCATCGTATGACATACAAATGATGTAGTGGTTTAACCCTTTCATGTATAGTGTAAATGTATGCTGTCCATTTGGAGTGGACATTGGGAAAAAATCTTTGAATTAAACCATTTTTGACAAAAAAAGTCTTTAGAAAATCAAAAACAACGGGAAAAATCCTTATTGAAATGATCATAATTCATACATGAAAGTGTTAAAATAAAAGAAGGCGAAATATAGCTACACCAGTTTCAGCATATTAGATATAATGTCCATTAAAGCCAAAACGTAATGCATAATTTCACATTTTGAAATATATAGCAATACTGTATAATTAATTTTAAACATTACACATCAGGCAGTGACATCTTTTTCCTGTGAAAATAGTTTGCCAAATGTGAAAATATAATTTCGCGAATTTTCCACCAGTGATGGGCTGTGAAAGTTGAATTAGAAAAATTCCTATTATTGACAAAGAGACTTTATCGAGCAAGAGCTGTAAATATTAACAATCAATTCACTTTCAGCACCTTAGATGTAAGATATAGTAAGTTGCATTGGCATCTCTGAAAAATATGAAAAAAGACAGTGAAACAGGAAGGCTGAGATGGAGAGGAACAGCCAATGGAGAACTCAATTCCACTGATTTCATGAAATGAAGCATCACCCATATCATGCAAAGCAATTGCTACAAATCATCAAAATGTCTAGAGATGATTTCAGTAAAGTTTTATCGTGATTGCCTTTGAGGGAATCCTAAGAGGCAAAGTAATAGGAGAAATAGGAGAAAAGTGACTTAAGGAAAAACTATGAGGAAATAGGTTGATGGAAACTGAAAATGAAGATTTGAGAAAAAGCAGACAGAACACAGTAAGTCATAACTAGTGAATGCGAAAAGGTGGTAGGCAGATGCACATACACACACAGGTGGACAGATGGAATTAAGATAGAAGACGACGAAGGATATCTCACCGTGGCAGAGAATTGTACAGTCTCTGAGTTTGTTGAAAACCATTGCTGTCTTCTTGCTGATGCATCTGAAACTGAGTTTCAACAGTAGCAGAATGACGTCCACTCTGTGTCTCGGTGCCACTAGTCACCTTTTAGCCAAAAAGAGACATGGAATCACAGATTAGAACACATAATTGCTAGAAAAAGTCAATGTTAGATTAATTCCTCTGACCCAAAGCATTCGTGTTGCTGTCATATGTACACACACTGAGACGGTAATATATTTTCCATGATTGCAGGTGCTTTGATTGTGTGATGCCTCCTGTGTAATGGTTTTACCTCAGGGAACAGCTAATTAGTAGGTGTGATTCAGTGATCGCCATGACACTGAAAAATACACCTGTGCCTATGGATGAAAATCCCCCTGATAAGGTTTGAATTGCTATTGATTAAAAATCCTTTCAACTGCGCACACAGATTAAAAAAGTCACTATATTTCACATAAGAGATTTCAACAAAAATGTAAAAATAATAATTATTAAATTCACCCAAACAAAAACGTCTTACATATCTGGTGTTCAATAACTATAGTCAGTCAGTGAATTGCATGTCAGAGCTTGACAAATGTCAAACTGTAAGAAAAAAATGTGTTTCAGGGTTAGGGTTAGGGTTGAGTGAATGCTGTATCTTTGGTAATTTAGTGAATGTGTAGTAGAATATGTGTCCTTACAACCTGCCTTAAAAGTGTTTAGCAAGGCTGTTTTAACCTGAAATACATTCTTATGAGTTATGTAATGAGATGTGCTGCCAGAGTAAAAAGTGAAAGCTTATTGAGGGCCTTTCCTGAAATGCACTGTATGACAAGTTCAAGTTTTAAAACAGCACTGTATTATTATATTACAGTTGTGATTACAAGCTCAAAAACCTTCCTGTGAGATTAAATGAACAACCAAACACAATCATTTAAACCCCATTCAGAGTGAAGAATTAGCTCCACTAGAAAACATATCGCAAGCAAATAGTGGTGTTAATACTTGGCTTTAATCAGAATATTTCACATGTCCCTTATTTGCAAGAGAAAGAAAATATATTATCCTTGGCCTAAGTCTGTTGGTCACATGTTTTGATAAGTTATTAAACAATATTGTTGAAATGTTGAGGTCTAATGTATACCAACTATGGATTTTAATTAACATATTTAATTTTCCACAAATTATTTAAATTTGATTGATATTAAAGTAACTATGATATTAGCATTCTAATCAATTAAAAATATACATTTCAATCACTATTAAATCACAGCCATGTGGTACATTTTTTTCTTGCAAATGTTCTGTTTTGCATGTTTTAATTTCTATTGATGATGAGCATCTGGCAGATCTTTAATGGATTTCATTCTTCTAGATACATGCATGAAGAATAATTTTTGGTGTTTTAGAACATGACAAATTAATGCATGTATACACCACTACCATGCTGGAGACATGAATGAGTATTACCGATTACTGCTTCATTTCACACATTAGGTATGAGTAAGCAGAGCAGGCTTGGCTCAAAGAGTGTATGTGTGTTTGTTGTGTGATCATCTATAAGGTTGACATAGAAATACCGTCTCCCTCTACACCAACATGCTGCTAACGAGCTGGCTGATGAAAGAACAAGACAAGAAAATTAAAGGGAAGTGTGCAGAGAAGGTGCGACAAGCATGACTTTACAGATTGTCAGTTTTTAGAAGGCTTTGCTAGTAATTTGGCAGCCAGGTACAGGGAACTGTGTAAGCATTTCTGCTACGGAAAACATTCACAAATAATTTACCCTTTTTTCTTGTCCAATTGATTTTTTTTTTTTTAAACAGCACAAACTTAACAATATTCTTAGAATTTAAATATCTATGTGTATGTGCTCGATGTGGATTAATGGGACAAAAGTGCGTGGACAGAATAAATAGTATAAGCAAAACCAGATACTTGGAAACTTCTTGTGTTCTCGAAATGACTCCCTCCCCCTTCACTTGTACAGCTGGAATAACAGTGCAATTACATTTCATTCATTGTAAATTTCAATTCATCTTTCAAGAAACTCCAAATCCCATATTTGTAATAGTATGCCGTACGAGTTAAAAAATTGGAGCATATGTTTCAAGCTGAATCAACATCTTCCTCTGGCTAAGAAATATAGAACATGCAAACAAATATCCAATGAACTGTAAGGGGAAAGAGGAAAAAAAATAGTGCTAAGTAAAATAATTATTCACACACTTTAATAGATTTATATTGGAAAGGAAACGTTGAGGAACCTAGAGATGTCTGATGCTTCAGTTTGAAACTCATGAGTTAAGACAGATGAGGCCATGCTGTGAGAAATGCATGACAAATAGCCAGGAGAGGAAATCAGTCAGTATAATAGCATTACCCAAGGAGGGAGAATCAGATTATTGCATGTTAGACCTGGAATACAATGTCATATGAAATATGGCAGTTGCTGGAATTGAATCAAAGAGACATACATGGTTATTTTTATCCAATAATGTGAAAAACGATGTCATTTCCCCCCCCTCCCTTGTTCCCTTGACAATGTCCCAGACAGAAGGAAAGACTTCTCCACCTGTGTAAACATAGTCTCCATTGAGACATATTTCAAAAATGTATTTGCAGCTTTCAAAAGGGATCAAATTTAAAAGTTCAAAACATAGGTGCAACAGCCAAGACATGACATTTCCTAGTTCAGAGCTGGTCATAAACCCTTCAGATCTCAAAAGAAGTTCCTATGATAGGTCAAGACTGACATATGGCTTTACCACCCACACTCCTCTCATGATACTATCTTTGCAGGCCTCCAAATAGGAAATTGTTTCAAGAGAGCTGCTGTGGTGTTCACAAACAAGCATATGGGACACATTTAAGTTGCTAATGGGCAGACAGAACAAGACAAAAGTGAGAATAGTGGTAAAACACCACATCCTGAGAATAGCTTATCTGGATGATTCATTCTTAAAGTTAAAATGGCAACCTAATTCCACCAATTTTTTTATAAGAACACTCAGTGCATATGTGGTTTGCGGGGTGTATAGCTCCGGGTGGAGTGTTCCTGCACTTTTTACGCTCTCCCAAGAAAGCAGAGTGGATGGTGCATATGTTTGGTTAACTTCATATGAAATGAAACAAAAATAGGTTTCAAGAAAAAAAAGGTATTTTTATACACTACACTTTTAGTAGTGACTGGACAGCAACACGGTATAGCAAGGTTATAACTTTATGCAACAAAGATAATAACTTCATGTTTGTCTAAATCATTGTTTTGACTTCTTTATTCACACAGAAGCACAATAAGATGCTGAAAAAGGAACAATTGCTTTTATATGATTGTATTCTCCCTTTCTGTCCCTCTTTCTGACATGTCTTTAAATTGGACATAGTATATTTGTTGTTTTGTCCATTAGTATTGTTAGGTTTTGTGAATTCCCGATGGATAGGTAAAGTCTTACCCTCCATGGAAAGTCGTTTGTATCCTAAATTTTCGAATTAATGTGGTGTGGAGGCGAACTATGCTAAGAGCGACTCAGAGGAAATTTTTCACCAACTGAAACATCTCATAGTGTTAAATTGCAGTTTTACTGAATGCAACATTGAGGATTGTTAGAATTAATCTCTTTTTAATTGGACTACTTCTATGTATCACAAACAATGTTACATAGCAATCGAGTTACCTGCACACTAGAGAAGTAAACAGAACAGTATATTGCAACATGGCTTTTTAGTTTAGGACACAAAAACTATATTGTACGTTTCACACTGAATCATTTATCTAGCTAATTGTTTCAGACAGCAAAAAGTAAAGTTTTCGCAAGACTGTCACTTTTAATTTGACTCACTTGTCAGGTTTTGTTTGGAATTTTTAAAACAGAGTGAGGTTCCCTCTGTCTTTTGCATTTAAGACAAAGTAACAATACCAAGCTGTAGTTATTTACATAAAGCTTTACTTCAAAACTTAAAAAATAACTTTAATAGGTCGACTTAAATATTAGTAAAAATGCGGCAACAATCAATATTTTTTAAAATGAAGAAATACATGTATCTAATCTTTACTTTGCCCCAAAGCTTAACTCAGCAGTCCCACGCAACACACGATGTAACATAACACTACATTGTATAAAACTTTGAGCGACTGTAAAGTCAAATCACGGGATCTTAAAAATTATTATTCTGCCTTTAATTACACAGGAAGTGACAGTACACAATCCAGTGCTATCAACATAAAAGTATTATATTCATGGAAACATATTGTTTTTATTAACATAACAAATATATATGGACAGTTATCAAAACATGTCACATAATTAAGGACATTATGAGCTGCAAACATCTCTGTATCGCAATGCTCATAGGTGCCCCGTCCCAGTGCTTAAATTAATTTTATTGCCAGTGAAAAAGAATGTGCAAGAAAAAAGGAGAGTCTTTTGAAAAATATGCCAGACTTGTTCATGAACATCTGGAAATTCCCTCTCAGAAAGCAGCAGGGAGAGGCAAAGAAAACATGCTGACTCTGCTTGTATGTTGGCTCGAAAGCTCCATGATGGAAAAATTGCTTCTTGTAGTTGTAGTTGGACCACTGTCCCGGTTATTGTCATTGCAACTGTTATAAAAATAGAAATACCAGAACTCAGTCTGTTAAATCTCAGGTTAAAATAAACACACAAACAAACAAATCACCCCTCAACTCACAATGCTCAAAGCATTCTCTTCATCTGCACCTGTTGTTCCAAAGTAAAAACTATTTTCAGGTGGTCATATGTAACAATAATTAGTTAAGAATAGTTTTGAGTCTGTTAGTGATAATGAAAAGAATGTGAACATAGCTCTTGCTTTGATAATTTAAGCAGCAAGCAGCCTCGAAAGAGTGTCTCAAACCATATACCGCCTATTAAAACAAGCCAAGCACGGCCTTAAACAGACCAGTCTTTTCTTTCCAAGTTATTGAATGTTTTCTCAGAACATCACTGAAACAAAAGGGCTTTTCCACAGCCAGATCTAATTTATTCTAAACCTTGGTTGTATCTTCAGCAAACATGAATGTTTAAGTCCTTTTATACTCTTGATATCGTCAAGTTTGAGAGGGCTTCTTCTTCATCTTGAAGGAATTAAGGCTCATGCTGAGTTGTTAAGTTTGTTCCACGATTCTCTCTTTGTTTGTATCCTGCTCAACACATTTGATTATGATGGATCTGGTGATCTGGCGAAGCTTTAATCTTTGGTTCTCCAGTCATCAATTAATTTTATTCTCAAGTTGTTAACCTTTTTGTGGACCTTGTCATGTTATTTAGCTTGCTGAAAGACAGTAACAAGTTCTGCCTGTGCTTCATCTAATAATTCATCACAAGGGAAATCCACCCTGTATTGATATTGCTACTGCCACCAGATTACCACTGACAGTCTCTTTCATGAGAAAAAACGTTTCCTTTCCACAAGGAACTATTTATCCCACAGAACAAATTTCTGATGCACTGAACGTTTTACAGCATTCATCAACAACTCTTTCCCAGAAGCCCAACCAAACCTGCAGGGAAATAGTTATAAATTCTTGTTTTCACCATCAGTCCAGTTACAAAACTTCCTTTTTAAATAAAATAATTTACCATTTCACTGACTTCACTTCCTCAATGTTACTCATAAACAGACACCAACAACATTCAGGGCATAGCTCTTGGAAACCACACTACAGTGGAGGACCTGAACACTTCAATCCAGATTCGATGCCATCAACCTTCACTGGTAAGTAAAAAAAAATATATTTTGAAGGTTACAGTTTAAGATCTGATAGAGGGGGGGCTCATCATCATGTAAATATTTGAGAATGTCTGAAAAATATCGAAGTCCTGAAGCAAAACACTACTCCAGTTCATATCAGAGAGGCCATCATCCCATTCACGCATCTTCATGTCAGTCCATCATTGCAAGCACAAGGCATTCAAGTCATCCAAAAAAACCAATGGAATTCTCAGGTGGCATCCCCTCCACGACAACATCCAGTGAGTTCCAGTCTATTATGTATTAATCTGCTGCTGGCAAATGCAGGGGTACAAACAACAATCTGAACCTGTACTCCTGCGACTTGCAGCTGAACTAAAATAACCCCCTTGCTCACTGTGGAAATCTTTGATACTAAGGTCCTGCTTGGGGGCTTGTGAGTAGTACTACACTCATCATATAACATTTTTTACATGGCAGAAAAATAGATAGTATGTATTTGTACATATTATATTTGTTACTATGTTGGCATATCTGGTTTGCTCTCCAAAGTCTGATAATCCCTTAAATAAAAACATGTGTTCAACAGAATTTCTGTTAATGATTTACATTGATCAACATACTCAATGTACTATAGTACTACAGGAGGGTTTGAACAGATTGGTTAGTTGATTAAATCTAGTTACAGTTTAACTTTTTATTCTATTAATTATCCATCCATTTATTCTTCTTATTCCTAGTAGGAGGCTGGAGCCTACTCGGGCGACTGGGCGAGAGGCAGGGCATACCCCGAACAGGTCGCCAGTTCATCACTGGGCCACATACAGGCATACAACTACAGACACTTACATTCACTTCTCGTGGCGATTTTCAACTTTTAATTTGCAGCATATGTAGATATCAAGTAAGAGTAAATTAACTAAGGAATAAAAGCGATTATATATTTCCAATTATAACGGATTCATCTTATTGTAACAGATTCATCGTGGTAGGGGAGATTAGCTTAAAGAAACTTCTCTGAAATTTTAATTTATAGTTTTTAATTAAAAAATCCCTTTAATCAAGTCTAGTAAAAATTCAAATTAAAATTGTCCTCGCTTTTATCCCCCTAGAATTGCTTCAAAGTCTTGAATAGTTGCATCAAATACTTCCCTTGTTAATCACATCCCTTCCATAAGTGTGTCAAATTTCCAGGATGGAAAGATACAGATAGAGACAAGGAATCTGCAATTCATGTCAGGTTAAAGGCTATTTCAGGATGTAAGATATTCCGTTGTAGTTGAAAGTCAAGCTTAAAGTTTGAGTAACTGTTGTCAGATAGTTTGGCATCCTTTCAGTTATCACAGTCTAAAAAGATGACAGCATCAGCTTAATGAAGCCAACCGATGATGCTGTGAATACTGGTGTTTTGGTCAGGTTAATTCTACTTATTTCACAAGGAAGATTGTTATTGGAGTTGGTCCCAGGGTGCAAGAATTTACAAACTACATAATTGGAGGTTGGAATGACTGTAAATTAAAAATACTATTCATCAGCCATGTTTTTTTTTTTTATAAATTATTATCATTATTGCTAGTGTGACAATAGTACTACAGTTCATTTATACGGTATTTGTGATCAAATTAACCATGTAATGTATAAAACAAAACACAAAAGATAAAAAGCAAATATAAATAAGAATAAAAATGAGAGTTCTGCATCTTAGCTAACAAAGAAAGAGGGTTTCCAGTTTGAAAGTTTGAATACCTGCTGCATGGAGTTTGCGTGTTCTCCTGGCAGAATGGGTTGTCTCTGGGTATTCTGGCTTCCTCCCTTCATCCAAAAATATGGTGGTAAGAGCGAAATAAAGAAAAACAAAGAAATAAACCTAACAGTTAAGATTTGTGACACTAATACAACATTGCAACGAGATGAGGAGAAATAAAATTCTCATTATAGTAAAGTAAGAATAGATTCAATCAATGGTAATGCTTTGAGCAGTCTATCCTTGAAGAACATTTCAACACGCTCCAAAGGTATGTCTGGTTCCTGGTGAGATACTCACCCAGGACTGGTCAATGCCATATATCTGCTGATGATCCTCAGGGTCCACCTCATGCTTGGCCTGCTGAAACTCGTTCCTCAACCTCTGTATCCGGTCATGGTTGCTGGGAACCATCTGACTGCTGTAGACAGGCAAACAATTGATGAATTGTACATTTCCCCCCTTTTTTTAAGATAAAAAGCATGTAAAAAGTTCATTTGGATGCAATTTTTCACTGAGAGTCCTCTTAGACGTAACAACTGGAAGATTGATCTAACAAGGATGTTGTTACAGGTGCTTGTTGAATTGATACATTCACTTGACCACACAGACACCCCTCTAAATCACACAGAGATTCCTTTGATCTGACAGCCATTATTCCTGCCTGCGTACATGAGTAACAGCGCTGCATGCTTTTTCATCCCTCTGTAACTCAAACAAACATCTCCACAAATAAAGGTGCCTCCTTTTGCACCAGTGCGACTGATGCATGTCTTTTTTTAGAGTGCCGAAGAATGCGGGGCCTTTGTGGCACAGAGTCATTACACACTGTGAAAAACCCTAATTTACATCTCCTTCATTAAAGGCCTTTGAAGGGGCTGTCAATAGGAATCAATAGCGCTCCCTCAGCTTAATCAGGCTCTCCTTTTATCACCAGCTACAGAGGCAACACATGACAAAACGCATAATTATGATGAGACAGCCAGCTTGTTAATAAGCCTGTATTTATGCATACCACAGGGATGAAAGTGACCAAAGGTTAGCAATTTGTGTTGGAAGTTGGTAACTTTGGGATAGATGGAAAGGAATGGAAAGAGCGAGGATAGGAGAAGGAGATAAAAGTAAGAGTATCTATTGGTGCAGATCTGAGAGAAAAAGGAAAAAGATTGTTCAAAAACATGAGAGAGAGAGCAAATAAACTAAGTCAGTATTAATAGAGCTGTGATAACTAGCAAAAAAATGAAGAAGTGGGAAAAAGAGAAAAATGTCGTTAGAAAATGGACTTGCAACAAGGACCTTTCACCATCTGAGATTGCGTGTCTTTCTGAGTAGCACTCACAGGTGGCACACCAGTGGTGGAAATGATTGCTTATTTGGGCCCAAAGGATTCTAAGCGCAATTATGGTGATAATTGCAGATTAGAATTAGCACATCTCTCTGATGATAATGGGTACTAGGAAGCACTGCCAATCAAACTTTATTAAAAGCACAATAAATAGATGCTTGTAAAGGAGATGTGGATCTTGGTACAAGTTCCTGAGTAGCACTTAGGGGGACACGGTTATCGTGTTTTTCATACTGCCTGATCAGAACCAGTTGTGTTAGTTATACTCCATTTGATTCGTATAGCTTTATATGTGTGGGAGCTTTGGGAATGTGCATGAGACCCTATGTGGATGTGGGCAATTAAGTGGCACACTGCGGTGTGACGCAGATTATGTTTTATGATGTGGGGTGATGGTCAAGTGTATTTATCATATTTTATTACTAAATCGATGTTCCTTTTATAATTACTTGATGTTGGTTAAATGGTAAGTACAATATCAATAAAATGTTATTACCGTACTTGTCACCGAGCGATATGATTCTATTCATTTGTTTATTCTCTTAGTTACACCTCCTTTTCTTTACTTCAACATATTCTTTCTGTATCAATGTCAGTGAAACAATTTTTAACTGAACACTGTCTACAAACGTCTATTCATTATGTATTATTATCTTTCTGATCTATTTATCTAATAAGTATGGCAGGGGGGTTTTCAAGGGCTACCTTTGGCATCTCAACCTTGGACTGCTGGAAAACAGGAACCAGCTGGAATCCATACACGTTTTGCTATGAACCAGATGAATAAATCCCATACACACCCAATATGATTAGACCGATTGCTCCTCTTGCACACACTAAAGTAACAATCTAGGAAAGACCGATAGCCCTTGCAGTATATTAGCAAGAATCTCCTAAAGTGTGTAGTGGATGGACTGCTGAAGTGTGGAATGAGAAAAGATTACTGAAGACAAGTTATGCATTTCAATATATATTTTTTTCTAGAAATGGAAATGTTATCAAGTAGGAGCTCAGATCGGGTGTGGATTAGTGAATTTGTCATGGCAGTTCAAAGAAGGCCTGTGCAATATCTACATTATCTGTACACGCTTTCTTCTCCTAGACCTCCATTCCCCTATAGTGGTAGATGGCAGTCGTGAAAAACATTCCAAGTAATGCAAATATATTCATATTCTATAAAAACTTAAGTCAGTATAAAGAAATGGAAGAAATAAAGCACTCGGACATCAGAAGTTAAGCCCTCACATATGATATGGTGTCTCATATTATATCATAGTTTGGTCATAGTAACTTCGAGTGTGACATTAAGATAGTAGCTAACACATGTCTATACAGTGAGAAGATGGATTCAGTTGAAAACTCTCCTCTGCTAGAGTACCTCAATGGGTAATTAATCAGCATAATTGTTTCCAATGCATCAGGTGTCACTACTGATTAATTCACCTCTGAATATATCAGTGTCTATAATGAGCCTGAAGAACAGAGGCTACAAAGAGTAAAATGAGACATGAAGCTGGTACATAACAACAACAGACCACCTTTCCAATATCAAGAAATCACCAATAAATCAGCAATCCTCATTAGTTTGCAAAAAGGTTTTTGTCCATCAGAGGAAAAACAATTACACTATGTAACTATAGACACAAATATAGCAAAACATCCTTTTTTCTCTTTACCCAGCTTGATGGGAACATGTACACCCACAACAATTACAAAACAAAACTTGAAAAATCACGCAGAATAGAAATAAGAAAAAAAACAGTATAAAAATGCCAACGTCGAATAAAAGAAAAGTTCAGTGTTTCTGTTAACTCTTCTGATAACTCTTAAGGGCTTTGGTTTCAAAGCATTAAAAACAAAATAAATTCTACATGCTATTCATGTCTGTATGTGCCTGCAAGTCTATCTGTGACCTAAGATATGTGATCACAATTCCACCAATGTTTTTCATTTAATTTCTTTTTTACTGGTCTGCTGAAAGAGGTCATGAGCACCAATGCAGTAGTTATGGGTGTGTGGTTGCCTATCTGTGTAATAATCATCCTTTGATCCAGGAGGATTTTGCAGATGTCTCTAACACCAAAAGGCTAAGCCAAGATTCAAAGTATAGTTCACCCATTTTTCCTTCTGTTGGTGGATTAAAGCGGCATATGATCTCTTCATGCCATGTGAACACTGCCAATAGGTTTTAAAGAAGTAATCCAATCACTCAGACTTGAGTCATATGAGCATACCAGAGGTCAGGGACCAGTCTTATTCAATAAAAATACGTTTTGTTTAATACAAATTCGTATGAATTTTAAGAAATCAAGGAGTTCTGAGTTATTACTAAGAGCTAATTTTCAATTGAAATGAAAATGTCTGAAACATGACAGGATGAGACTGAATTTAAGGAATTTAAGGAATTCTGCTAGTTTTTAATCTGATTAATGTTGATTGGAATTCTATCCAATCATCTGGTTTCTTTCTGGGGCCCTCAGATCTTTGTACAGCAGATGAGGGAGTAGGATTCAAGTCAAAAGCTTTGTTTATCTTTATTCCATTACCCGATAGGCTTTTTTTTGGGGAAAAGCACAGCCTTTGGGGACCTGCTGCAATGAAAGAAAGATATAAAATCCATATTACTGCTGGTCAATTATGAAGTTTAGAAGGACAAAGATAAAACAAACTCTTCAAAGACAAATCTGCATGTATTGGCAAGTCACTTTGATTTTTTGGAAGCGATATAAAGATATAAAGCACTTTCAAACAATGGCTACTTCTGATGGTTCTACAAATTTCTCATTCTACACCTTCCCCCCCATAAATAAATGTTTATTGTTTTTAAGCTTTATTTTTTTGTCTCTTTTTTTAACTTTAGGTTAACCACCGTTCCTTTTGAATAATTTTCTAACTAGTCAGCTGGTGCTAGCGCTGGATGTACTTTGCATTTAATTTGAATGGCTGCTAAAGTGTTTATTTATTCTGTGAATTTATGGTGTATTTATATGATGTATGTTTAAAGACAATTAATTCAATTAATTTCTATTTTATTTATATAGCGCCAAATCACAACAGTTATCTCACAGCGCTTTCCAGACAGAGCAGGTCAGACCCTACTCTGACTTATTTATAGAAGCCCAACCATTCCCATTAGGTAAATTAGGTAAAATGCAGTTAATTGCAGTTGCTATTATCTGATTAATTAAATTGAATCTGGTTTTATCCTGATTTCAGATCTAAGACAGTGAACAATTTTGATCCATTTCCACCCGACTTACTGCACATTTACAGTTTCTTATTCCCAGACGTGCACTCACTAATTTTATTGTTGTAATGTCATTGTCTGAACTTGTGTCTTGACTGATATTGTATTATGTGATTCTGTGTTGTTTTGTCTTCCTGCCTCAGAACGACAGATGTAAATTAGCAAATATGCCATAATCTGGCTCATTTACAATCTCTACTGAAGTGTAAGATTGTTCATTAATGAGCACTGTCCTGATCAAATAAATAACTAAATAAATTTAGGGTGGCTAAGGATTCCTCTAGGTTTTGGAAGAGGATGTGCATCTTTGACAGTTTGTAATTTCAATTTCCTATAGTCAATTCACATCCTGATCATACCATTCTTATTGTCCACAATCACAATTGCATATGAGTATGAAGACTGAATCTCATATAACACTAGCATCAAGAAGGTCATTTAGGTATTTCTGGACAGCCTTCATATTTTTGGGGTGAATATGCCATGCTGGATGCTTGAGGGCTGTCTCATTATGAACCTATTAAATCACATCTCTGTCTGTGGCCATACTGTTGTGAGAGAAACCTTTGGGAAGTTTGTCAGTAGTGTGGTTATGCACTCTTTTCATTTGGAGGGAAGGGGAGAACCTTGAGGTCAAACTGCTAATTGTACTTTTGGGAAGGAACTGAAGCAATGACTTGCTGGGAATTCGTAGGCGAAGCTCCCAGATCAGAAATGATGATGAAATGCATCTTGCTTTGACTTGGTCTTTCCTAGGACTGGAACTTTGGGTGGGGTTTGGTGCAGATCATGACTAAAGACATGAGGACATGGAGACCTCCCAGAAGTTGTGAAAGAGGGTGCTTGATGATGGCTAGTTGGTATGTAGCTGAAACATGTTGAGCTGCTTTTGACCATCTGCTATCGGTTAGGCCAGTTGCTGAGAGATAGTGGTTAAAAAAAGATTTGAGATGGGTCCGATGTAGGTTTTTCATTTTCCTGGCTTCCCAAGTTTACCTTTGACATTGCACACTTTGTTGTCTTTGAAATGTCTTAATCACAAGTTCATTTGGCAAGTTGTCATGAATGGTTTGACTGTCTTTCATGAGTACTACATCATATTTACATTTGTTTTTATACTGATGCTCATTAATGTGCTTTGTCCCTATTAAAATAAATAAATAAATAAATAAATAAATAAATAAATAAATAAATAAATAAATAAATAAATAAATAAATAAATAAA